ATGGTATTTGATACGTGAACCCAATTATATTTAACATGGGTAAATATGTCTTATATTTTTAATAATAAATTTATCTATCTATTTTCAGTCCACATGTCGTCTTACTTCTCTTCAATTTTTGTTCTAAAATCTCCTTTGCTACGGGAAAAAAACTCAAAATTTTGAGGAAGAAAATTATAATTTTGCTTAGCAGAAAGGTAAGATATTGGAATTATAGGTCACTGCAGAAATCGTTAATTATGTAATTAAGAACCAAAGTTCACATGAAAATAATCCATCGACATCAAATTGGAACTTGGAACCCAACTTTCTGGTTCTTAAACTTTATCAATCTCAATTAGGGGTGTCAATTGGATTAGATTTGGTATAATCCGATCCAATCCAATGTAAGTCCATTACAAATGGACCTAATCCAATCCAGTTTAATAAATATTTTGGACCATTTTGGACCGATTCAAAGACTATTCAAACTATTCAAATTCCTGTTAATTTAGATTGGTTCCAACTCAAATCTGGTCCATTGAGACCTGTGTTCTTATCTTCTATCAATGGACCAGATATTGGCTCAATCCAATATAAATTCATTATGGACGGAGCAGGTCCAATCCAATATGTCATATTGGTCCGTTCAGTCCATCTAAGTTCAATATGTCTTATTAGTTCATCCAATTCGTCCAAATTGATTTTCATTTGGACGGAGTCCAACCCAAAACTGGTCCATTGACACCCTAATCTCAATCAACTTGAAAAGAAATGCAAAAACAATAAAGTAAATAGGCCACTTATAATAAGTAAGAAGCACAAAAAAAAAAAACAAGTATATAGAACCAATGCAAATGAAAAAATACACATATTTACAAACATCTCTATTTAGAAACTTTAGAAGAATAAATAGGTGAGATCTTGAGCTATAGCAACGGACGTTACCCTCCTTTTTTCCTCTCTATTGCAATTTGCAGATTTAGAAATTTCTCGATTTAGAAACTTCAGAAGAATAAATAGGTGAGATCTGTAGTGACGGACATTAACCGCCATTTTTCCTCTCAGCTGCAATTCACAGATTAAGGTGGTGTTTGATAATGATTTTAAGGGGTCTTAAATATGAAAATATTATTTTTGACTCCAGAAGTGTTTGGGTATGCGTTTGAAAGTTGATCTGAAATGCAATTTCAGATCTGAAACGTTTAGACCAAGGGCCATCGCTGAACGTGCTCAAACGGGTTTCAAATGTGTCCAAAAGTCTAAAATGCCCTTGATAATATTCGAATAGACAATGCATGTCCCTTTTTAAACCCAAAATTCTTCTCATTTGAGTTCTCAAAGAGAGGCGACGATGGAGAACTCGAAGAAACCCTATATTGCTAGCGATGAAGAATTCATTTCTGTTTAGTTGTTCGATCTCTCTCTCTCTCTCTCTCCTTGTCTTTCCGCCACCGCCACTGCAACTCTCAGCAACGGTGTTCGATTTCCCTCTCTCTCCCTCTCTCCCTCTCTCCCCCTGTCTTCCCGCCATCGTGCAACAGACCTATCTCAATAGTGGCATTCGATTTCCCTCTCCCTCTCCCCTCCTCTCTCTCTCCCTCTCTCCATCTCTTCCATCTATTCTCCACTCTCGACTACTATCGTGGTCTCCACCCCATTCTCTGTCTCTACAACTAATGTAAAATACAACACCAAATTAATTATTAATTATTTTAATTTTTATTAAATATTAAATATTTTAATAGTTTTTAAGATATTAATTTGCTAATTACTAAATATTTTTTAATTACTTCATAGACTTTATTAATATTTTAATTCTTAATAATTTATAAATTTATATGTATATCCAATTTTATTCTTATTTTAATAAATTATTTTTTATCTTGGAGATACTGTCACGTGCAAATGCATGTACATGTTTACTAGTACATATAAAATAATACAAAACATAAGGCTTTGCACTCTACACATTTGCATTTGTACTCCTTCCAAACTGAGCCTAAGGCTGTGTTTGGTTGCAATGCAAATGCAATTATGTACACAAAATATTTGCCCTCTTTTTAGTTCATGAATGCAAACACGATTCAGATTTTAAACCGTTTTTGCACTCATCTTGTTTGTTTGAAATCGATGCTAAGTGTGGGCCCATCATTAAATGCTCCAATGCCTTAACTTTGGTTAAAAAGTTTATTATCAAAAGAATACAAAATTGTATCCAAAACATAAGTATAGTAATGCTCTCTTTTCAAAGTACGGAAATGTCAAAAAATACATTTTTGATCTGATAATCATTACTTTTTTACATGTCAAACAAACGCTCGCAAACACAAACTACAGTACATAAACACCTCAGTTTGGCGTTTATATTGCAAACAAACGGAGCCTAACTGATCAACACTTATACCTACAAATTGAATCTAAAGCTGAAATCAATATTATTTTTGTGTAAATTGGAACCAAACATCTTTGCATATCAACATTATATTTTAATTTCTATTAGTAGAAGAAATATCAATGGTGACCTTTAACCAAAACATCACTCTACGGCAGGTACCATTCGCTTTTTGGGAAATTACTTATCTGAGTAAGTGCAATTATTTGGGTTATTCGAATAAGGTCAAATTTGGGTTGGGACCACACCATTAAGCACTTATTGATGTTTGGAAAATAAACCTGAAATAAGTGCTTATTTTAAAAATAAGTATTTAACCAATAAGCTCAAATTTCCAACTTCTTTTAAGTAATTAAACTATAAGCACTTACTCGGATTTTTCTATACTAAAACTGTCCCCATTTATTTATTTTTTTAAATTTTGCAACTAGCGGCAAAATTGGAATAGCTAGCCACTGTGCTTGGACAATTGTTGGAGAGATTAACTCCAATGATGAAGGCATTAATCGGCCACTAGGTGGTTATCATACGTTACATGACAAGTTATCATTGTTTGATGTCCTCCTACCGCTTCGACTGTCCTTGTAACTAGAAATGTATTTAGCACTACTAAGCAAGGGAGCAACATCATACTCACCTATGCCCACCTTCTCTTCTCTGGTCTTGTAGAGGTCCTACTACAAATGAGGCTGAGCTTGAGCACGATGCGCATTTCATCCTGGTAACAAGCTTCTTTGATTTGCTTGTCCAAAGCATCCACGATGGGTTTGTCCTCTTGCAGGTGTCGCCACGCGCATTGTGCCAGACATGTATCCTCATCTCCGTTGCTTGCTTCCCTTTTAATTGTTAATTCCAACAACACCACCCCATCAGCCACCACCCAAATTTCCAATTTATGTGTTTATCACTCACACAAGTTTTGAAAAACTCATGGTATATTTTAAAAATTTAAAAGAAAATGAAAGACAAAAGAGTCACAAGTGTTTATTGAAGAAAAGACCACCAAATGCCCAATATGAAATAAGTGTATATTTTTTAAAATAAGCATTTGAGAAAGTTGGGTGCTAAATACAAATAAGTGTTTATTCGAATAAGTTCTTGTCTTTGAACACTTATTTTTAACATAAGCATTCCCGGTAAATAAGAAAATAACCATTTTATCTATAAAAAAACCATTAATAAAAGGGATAATTTTATTTCGTCCAATCGTTGGTAACTATTTGCCAAGTGGAAAAGTTACTTACTCGCATAGAAGATGGGTATCACTTACCCGGGTAAGTAGAGAGAACTTTAACTCTTATTAAATTGTGTGTACAATCACCTTTCTAAGGTGGATTTAATGCCACTTTCAGTGAGCATTCATAGATTCTCACAAAAACAAGGGAGGCATGGATTCTACAGTTAAAAGCAGTTGTACCTACAATTTAAAAGGACTGAATGTTTGTGTAGGAAAGTAATACATAGGAAAAATAAATTTTTCATGAACCCCACATAAATCTGAAAAAAGAATATGGGTATCTTGGTCAATGGGAACTAAAATCCTATTGACCAACTTTCCCATCACAATAAAAAAAAAGAATGGGCCATAAATTTAAAAATAAAAAAGAAAATAAGAAATAAGCTGTGTTTAGTTGCAGTGCAGTTTTATTTGCACTAGTACAAATGCATAGGAGTGCAAATGAAAGAATGCAAATTCTGGTTTAATTTCGTTTTGGGTTTTATTTTATTTTGCTTCAAATCTTGCTTTACTTCATTTGTACTCCAATCAAACAAAATAAGATAAAATTTGAAATAAAAATAAATTATAATTTGCACAGAAATCATTCACACTGCTATGGTTTTGCATCAGTACAAATAAATTCGCATTGCAACCAACACAGCCTAAGGGTTACAAATGGAAAGCAGATTTTGCTGCATTTTTTTACTGCAATTCCATTCGATCTGCGCCTCAATCCTAAACCCGACCAAAGGCCCAACCCAATAAGCCCAGACTTAACCCAATCTAAGAAGCACGAATTTCATAAGTGGGTTAAGTTGGATCAGATTGACTCGACAAGTTAATTAATATATTTTTTTTTCTTTTTTTCCTGATAATAACTTAAAAGGAATTATGTAAACATTTGATAATACTTACAAGAACAGTAGGACTGGTACCTGATTAAAATGGGCCCGGCCAGGTTCAGATTGAGACTTTGGGTTGGGCCAATCGGGTTTGTGTTGATCCAATTCCAATTTACACCCTGATATTCACGGGAATTTACATGGCAATAGCCAATAAGGTGAGGGGGGGGGGGTTTGGAAACAAATTAATCCATATTTTAACCAATAAAATACTCGGTTTGGCCGGATCGCTAATTGATTAACTCGGTTTGGTAACTCGTTATCGAGTCCATGTAAAAAGGGTATTTGCGTCATTTTGAAGGGTCAATCGAGGCCTGGAGGGTTACGACATTCGGGACGCCGCACGCATCTATGATCTAACCCCAATCCCAACACCACATTCCCTTCCTGCAAGTATGGACCATAGAATTATAAAATGAGAAATTCTACCGCCACGCGTGTAGCAATTGAAACGGAAATAACGACAAGGAAAATTATATTACCATGAATCCATGATACCCATCTTCCCATACTCGCGTCCGGGCTAGCTTTTCCAACCCTTAAAAGTTAAAACACCTAACAGAGGATTCGCGAACCACCGACCTTTCTATCGACGATCGGCGTTTCAGAAAGTTCTACAGATTACGGTGAGTTTCAATACTCTCACAGTTGCTCTTCTTTTTCTTCCTGCTTATAGACTTCTATCAAGTATTTAAGCTTCTTTGATTTTGATGCGTTTATGGTGTTTGTTCCCTGTTACTAAATTTTTTCCCTAATAAAATCCAGTGCCGTTCAGATCTCTCTCACCTGACAATGATGAGAGGTTTTAGTTCTTTTCTTTTGCGGATTTTTGCATTCAAAAGTCGACGAGTTACTCAATCTTATTGTTTTTGGGGATTGTTGGGATTGGTAGTGCGTAGTTAGATGGAACTTAGTACCTGTAATGGATTGTCATATTGTTCACAAATAAAAATACTTTGAAATTCACGGATTACAAACTCAGGTTGCACATATGGAGTTGGGTATTGATATTGTAAGTGTTTATTATAAGAGGAGATTGTTGTGATTTCTTAGCATGGATTTATGGTTAGTTCCAAGATACAATGTAAGTTCATGATATTACTGGAATCAGAATTGGCTGTATAAATTTGGTCCTCATTCATTGTGCAAAGATATCGAAAGAAATAAATTTTCTAGGTGGATGCGATGGCCATATATTTGGAGACTGAAAGTTGAATTTTTACTTGTCCCCAAGCTCTTTTTCTTCTTTTGTATATGTAATGGTTGTAATGAATAATAATCAAAAAGAGAAACAGAAGATCAAATAAGACTTACCACAGTCAGGAAGGTTCCTCACTGTTTTAGATACTTTCCTCATTCTTTGGCCAAAATGTTGGTGATTTTTAACAGTTTTTGTACTCTAAATGAGGATATTGTGTGAAATGTGAGACAAATGTAACATCAGCTTTTAACTCAATACCTAAAGAAAGTATAACAACGGGAAGAAAAACAAAAAGCAAAAAAAGGAGAATATCAATACCTAAAAATTAAGACTCTTAAAGCATGCAACTTACCTTGGTTAGTAGATCTGAAAAGAAGTAAATTAAGAAATTAAAAGATGAAAATTAAATTACATGTGATAAATTGTTTTGATTGAAATTTAAAAATGACACTACCATGATTAGCAAATTTGCAGGTTTCAGGGAATGGAGGGAGAGAGAAGAATGTAAACTTTAATTTTTATCCCCGAAGTCATATTCTAAAAGCTTCAGAACAGAAAACAACTCAAAGGTCTTAGATCTATGATGACTGAAATATCTACAGATCTGTTATCAAGGTCTCGATTAGTCAACTGATTAGTCAATTGAAGGCTATACTGACTGCATCACTAATTTGCTTGTTTTTACCTCTAGTTATATATAATAATATTAATTATCATATAATATTCATTGAGCATTTGAGATGGCATGGGGTAGGATGGTGATATATTAAATAGAAAAGAACATGAGATAAAAGAATAGTGTAGGAGTTCCAATCAGTGTTGTGCTGTTCTGGAATTGCCAAAACAAGGGAGCTTTGTTTTGAAAAACAAATATCACTCCCTATCTCATATTATTCGACCTTGTTTTGTTTTGAGTGGTTAAAATTGCAGCCTTTCTTTGAAAAACAAATATCACTCCCTATCTAATATTATCCGACCTTCCTTTCTATGTTTACCAAAGAAAAGATGCATATTATGTTTTCTATTTCATTTATTTGTTTGCATATTTGCACTTTGTATCATTGTTTTAAAATGTATATGTGGTTTAGCCTCAATGGAATTGTCTTGAATGCCTAAAAGTATACAGGGCATTTCTCACACCTTGAGATGTCCCTTGTGTGTGTTTGTACATGTTAGGGCTGCAATCAAATAGTTTGGGCTCAAGTTCGGTTAGTCTTGATTCAAGTTCGAATCCCAAGGTAAGCCCAATTAGTTATTTGGGCTCGAACTCGACCAATAAAAGGTTCAGCTCGAAAGCTCGCAAGCCTATCTCAATTAACACATACACATGTATGTATCACACACATATATTATAGAACATAAAAATATATTTTGTAATACATATTATGATAATATATTTTTATATTAATATAAGAATATACTATATATCATAAAAATATAGGGTAAATTACAAAGACCCCCCCTGTACTATGGGGTCTGTGAAAAAGTCACCCCCTGTACTATGACCGTGAGACAAAGACCCCCTTCTATTAGTTTTCCGTTGAAATCCGCCATTTTAATCCCCATACTACCCTTGTAGTAAATATTCGAAGAATTGGGAGAAAAGCACTGTTCATCTTCCCTGACCTCACGATGCACGAACAACACCCTAATTCTTGCTTCTCAAGCCTTTCTTCACTAACCACCCAAAAAACCACAGATCCAGAAGAGCTCTTCAAGCTCTCCTTCCAAGTTGCCCTTACCAAGCCCTCAAAGCTCGCTTCTTTACCCACGAAGCTTATCCCCAAGGTCAACGGCGATCCTCTTCTTGTGGCCACGCTGTGTGATTGCCAAACCCAGTTTGAAGACACCATAGATCAACTCAACATGTCTATCTTGTCCATGCACCCTGGTGACTGGAGACTGCTGCAGGAGACGGTTCTGTGGATCCGGTTGGTCATACATACCTTGTTGTTGAAGAATCAAAACCAACAAATAGAGAGCACCAACTCTTTCAACCGTTCAAATGTTATTGCGGTTCTATGGCTCTTGCTGTGGCCGCCGCTCTGCTCGGCACACGTTGAGGGAAGAAACGAAATTGAAAGGTGGGGTGATATTGATTTCAATTCAAGGGCTGGATGTCGGTAGGCAGTTGGTGGAGTGCTTCGCAGAAAGAGGCAAAAGGCAGTTTTAGCTGAGGACTGATTCTTAATTGGTTTCTCTCTGCAAGTACTCCTTCGTGGAAGTACAATTATTGGACAAACCGGCCTGAACTTGACTTGAGCGTTAACCCGAATGACCTAATCTATCATCACTAGGTCCACCACCACACACATCGTCCAATCTGTTGAAGAGCTATGAATGGCTTGGGTCTCCTTGCAGCGAAGCGACAACCATTGCAAGAACCACAGAACCGTGATAACATTTGAACGATTGAAAGAGTTGGTGCTCTCTATTTGTTGGTTTTGATTCTTCAACAACAAGGTATGTATGACCAATTGGATCCACAGAACCGTCTCCTGCAGCAATCTCCGGTCACCAGGGTGCATCCATGCCGGAAACTCATCAGAGTCGGACCCCACATCCAATAGCTTCCGATGGATTGGAATATCGAGGTTCTCGAGAAGGGTCAGGATCTTGGACACGATGGCTAAGTTATTACTTGTAAACTCGGTTGAGTTCTTCATTGCTACCCTCAACTCTTCAAGCACTGTTGCAACGGTGGTGCAGTTCAACTCTTGTAGCCCGTCTAAGAAGGACTGCTCGTTCGTGATTCCCGTGCTAAGCCATGTCCTGAGGTCACTGATCTTGGAAGCCGATAGCAACTTCTCACAGAGCTCGGTAAGGGCAACTTGGAGGGAGATCTTGAAGAGCTCTTATGGATCTGTGGTTTTCTAGGCGGTCAGTGAAGAAAGGCTTGAGAAGTAGGAATTGGGGTGATGTTCATGTATCCTGAGGTCGGGGAAGATGAATAATGTTTTTCTCCCAGTTGTTCGAATATTTATTACAAGGGTAGTACAAGGGGGGTCTTTGTCGCAAAACAAAGTACAGGGGGGTCTTTTGTAATTTACCCAAAAATATATCATATATTTATAAAATATAAAAATATATTCATTTTTGAGCTTTCAACGAACTCGAGTTCATCGAATATTTAATCAAACTAAGCCTGAAATAGGAAATAGACTTTGATTCGAAGGCGAACCCGAACTCAAAGTCTTGAACCTAATAGTACTTTAGTCGAACCAAGCCAAGACATGCAGAAGTTCAGCTCAGGTTGGCTTGATTACACCCCTAGTGCATGTACATATTTATGTATATATTTTTGGCATTATGTATATATGCATGTATTTATGTGCTTGGGATTGAGGAAGATGTTGCCCATTGAGTTAGAGAAGGATGGGTAAAATGGAGATAGGTAAATATCATTTATATTAAAAGGAAAATACTATAAAACAACTATAAAGCCAGTTATGCCGTATGGGGTAGAGTGCTGGGCAGTCAAGAAACAACATGTTCAGAAAATGAGTGTGGCAGAAATGTGTATGCTGAGATGGATGAGTGGAGAAAACTAGGAAGGGAAGGGTGAAAAATGAAATCACTGGAAGGAACTTCAGAGTAGCTTCAATAGGTGATAAAATGAGAGAAAGTATACTAAGATGGTTCGGTCACTTGTATAGAAGACCATTGACAGCATCCTTAAGAAAATTGATATGTGTCAAGTTGAAGGGGCTAGGACTGGGGGTGGACAAAAAAGACATGGGTCGAAGTAGCACAAAATGATTTAAGTGTTCATAATTTAACAATGGATATAGCATTGAACAGAATGGAATGACAAAACAGGATTCATGTAGCCAACCCCATATAGTTGGGGTAAGGCTTGGGTGATGATGATTTATGCCAAAAAATGTTCAACGCCATTTTAAAGTGTTATTTAATATGTAGAGCTTCTTAATAGTTATTAAATGATATGCAAATAAATTGCTTTTTTATGTGATCATTTATTCATTCTTATGCTTTTCCTACATAAAAATATACTCCTATTATGCATATTTCTATATTTTCCAATATTAGCATGATATTTTTTCTTAAAAACCAGCCATCGCATGAGTCTTAAGCCTCACACTTTGTGGCTTATGCCTAATAAAAATTTTGAACTTTTTTTTTTGTGGTCAACTAATCAGCACCAAGGCATCATTGAGTCACACATTGCATATTGAGGCAAAAAAAAAGTTAATGGTTCACTGCATTGACCATGTACAGATCAAGGGGTATTGGTAAGAAGGTGCCTCCTTCAATGACAACCGATTTTGCTTTGAAATGTGTAAAACTAATGAAAAATGATATAAAGTAGGGCAAAGAAGGCTTTATCAAGAGCAACCAAAGTGCTTTTGTGGAGGGAAGACAGATCACCGATCAGATCCTCATTGCAAATGAGAGCTTGGAGAGCTTTAGAAAGTCAAAGAAGAAGGGAGTGGTCTGCAAATTGGATCTAGAGAAGGCTTTCGACTTGGTTGATTGGTCATTCTTGA